TGAAGGCCAGCTTGGAGAACAGCCTGAGGGAGGTGGAGGCCCACTACACCCTGCAGATGGAGCAGTTCAAGGGGATCCTGCTGCACCTGGAGTCAGAGTGGGCACAGACCCGGGCAGAGGGGCAATGCCAGGCCCAAGAGTACCAGGCCCTGCTGAACATCAAGGTCAAGCTAGAGGCTGAGATCACCACCTACCCTCGACTGCTGGAAGATGGTGAAGACTTCAATCTTGGTTATCCCCTGGATGGCAGCAACTCCATGCAAACCATCCAAAAGAACACCACCCACCAGATAGTTGATGGCAAGGTGGTGTCTGAGACCAAAGACACCAAAGTTCTGAGACACTAAGCCAGCAGAAGCAGGCGACCCTTTGGGGAGCAGGAGGCCAATAAAAAGTTCAGAGGTCAAAAGCAAAAGGAGGCAGGAGAGACAGAGTCAGAGAAGTAAATGGTGATGATGGTGGCAGAGAGAGAAGAGACGTAGCAGCAGAAACAGAGGCCAGAGAGAGAGAGTTGAAGATGCTTGGCTGCTGGCTTTGGCAATGGAAGATGAGGCCATGAGCCAAGGACACAGGCAGCTTGTAGAAGCAGGTAAAGATATGGATTCTCTTCTGGAGCTTCCTGAAGGAACTCAGCCCCTGCAGACCCAGTTTGAATTGCTGACCACCAGAACTGTCGGATGATGTGTGTTGTTTGAAGCCAATAAATGTGTGAGACTCACTCACAATAAGTCACTAGAAGGGGAATGACTGATCCTTAGTGAGGTTCTGAGGGGAAGGCTTTGCAGAAGGGGTTAATTTAAACTGGGCCTTAAGGCAGGAAAGGAAGGTAAACCAGGAGCAAAGGGAATTCCCAAGAGTGGTAAAACATGTTATTAGTTGTGGGTTAACAAGATGGGAAGGGATTCTCCTATCCACGGAAATCAATCAGTTTGCCTGGATCTGTCCCTGCTTGTGCCTATTGCCCAGTATAATTTTTTTTTTGGTGTTTTTTTGTTTTGTTTTGTTTTTTTGAGAAAGTTTTGCTCTGGTTCCCCAGGCTGGACTGCAATGGTGCGACATCAGCTCACCACAACCTCTGCCTCCCAGGTTCAAGCGACTCTCCTGCCTCAGCCTCCCGATTCGCTAGGGTTACAGGCATGCGGCACCATGCTGTGCTAATTTTGTATTTTTAGTAGAGATGGGGTTTCTCCATGTTGGTCAGGCTGGTCTGAAACTCCTGATCTCAGGTATCTGCCCAACTCGGCCTCCCAAAGTGCTATGGGTTTACAGGCATGAGCCACCGCACTTGGCCCGTCCCAGTATAATTTTTTAGTGTGCTTGCTTTCACACTCAAGTATGCTGGTTGGGACAACAAACGCTATGGCCATCCTCCCACTCTACATCTTTGCCCATGCAGTCTCCCCCAGGAAAGTGCCTCCTCTGCCTTCTTCTCGTCTCCCAATTCAGATCCTTTCTTTCCTGCCCACCACATTCAAGACCTTTCTATTCCAAGTCATCTGTGTCAAATCACTGGTCACAAGTTCCTTTCCATTCTCTGAAATCCCCTAAGACTCAAATAACTTATGCCACAAAAGCTCACCTTTGACTGTGTTGCTGTTTTTAAGCAGTAGTTTTCTTACACTGGATAGCAAATATTTACATTTGTGGCCACCGACTTCTTTTCAGCACTGTCCCTACACTTCAGTAATATTTCTACATTATAAATCCTACCTTCTCACAGTAGAAGCCCCAAAATTTGCATTCTCACCTTAGCGGCATTACTTCCTTGCAACCAAGATGGGGCGTGTAGCTGGGTTTCACCTGGGATTCAGAGGTGAGCAATGGGAATAAATGATATAGGGGACCGATCTTCCAGGAAGCAGAGTAGCATAGATGCCTCACAGTCCGGGGAAGCAAGGGTGGAGCATCAGGCAGCTAATCCCAAGGAAAGATGCCCAGCAAAAGTGCCCAGTGAAGGCAGTGACAGTATGCTCTCTAGAGACTAGAGCAAGCCCATGGCATGGCTGTGGATTATTGCTGTCTGCGTGGATTTAAAGCCATTTAGAAATTCTATGGGCTTCTTAATATTCTCTATAAATCCTTTTTCATTTCAATCTAGCCAGATAGTTTTGTTGTTTGCAACCAGAAACACAGACTGACAGATGCGACTGGTCTTGTCACGACAGTTAGTTGATAAACTCCCTACTGGCAGTTTGGATTCTTAAGAGCTTTTATATTCCTCTAAGCACCTTCCCAGCACAGGCCATACAGACTCTGCTGTCTCAAATATGACAGGTGGAATTAGGGAAAGCATAATCAGAGGAGAGGGTGGGGTTGTGGGGCCCACAGTGAGCCAGGCTGCTTACCAGGCACAGAACAAAACAGTCCAATGGAAGATGCCCACCACACCCCGGCTGAATTCCAGTGAGTCAAGGTAGGTGGCAAGCAAGCAATGGAGACAAACGTCAGCAGTACAGCTTGGCCCTGATGCTCTGATGTCCATGACTAGAGACGGCCAGTCCCTCCTCCAGGGTCCTTTCAGCACAAATACAAGTGTCACTCAAGCAGACACTTGTATTTCTGGAATGTGGAAATAAATGGAAACCACCCAAATAGGAACAAGCAAAGGCTATTTATTTAGAACTTGCCATTGCAAGGGAGTCACTCATATCACTTGTGTTAGGCAGAGATTCAGGGGCAGGCAGGAGAGTGGAAAGCTTTCATAATGGCAAAAAGGGAAGGCTCAGGTTATGCTCTGTTTGGAGGCAGTTTCATTGGGGAAGCCGGATGGACTAACAAAAAGCATCATCCTATGTGACTGGTTAGAGAAGATTTAGCTTTCTCTAATTGAGACTAAGTTGGAAGCAAGGACAAAAATTAGGGAAGCTGGCACTTATTGACCAAGTCCTAACCATTTAGAATGCATTGCTGATGGCCAGGCGCGGTGGCTTACACCTGTAATCCCAGCACTTTGGGAGGCTAAGGCGGGTGAATCACGAGGTCAGGAGTTCAAGACCAGCCTGGCCAATATGGTGAAACCCTGTCTCTACTAAAAATACAAAAAATTGCCGGGTGCGGTGGCTCAAGCCTGTAATCCCAGCACTTTGGGAGGCCGAGGCAGGTGGATCACGAGGTCAAGAGATCGAGACCATCCTGGTCAACATGGTGAAACCCCGTCTCTACTAAAAATACAAAAAACTAGCTGGGCGTGGTGGCGCGTGCCTGTAATCCCAGCTACTTAGGAGGCTGAGGCAGGAGAATTGCCTGAGCCCAGGAGGCGGAGGTTGCGGTGAGCCGAGATCGCGCCATTGCACTCCAGCCTGGGTAACAAGAGCGAAACTCCGTCTCAAAAAAAAACAAAAAACAAAAAAAAAAAACAAAAAATTAGCTGGGCATGGTGGCAGCCACCTGTCATCCCAGCTACTCGGGAGGCTGAGGCAGGAGAATCCAGGAAGCAGAGGTTGCAGTGAGCTGAGATTGTGCCACTGCATTGCAGTCCGGGTGACAGTGTGAGACTCCATCTCAAAAAAATAAATAAGTAAAATAAAATAAAATTTTTTAAAACTCAAAAAAAAAAAAAAATAGAGAGCCAGGCACAGTGGCTGATGCCTGTAATCCCAGCACTTTGGGAGCCCAAAATGGGTGGATCACTTGAGGTCAGGAGTTCGAGACCAGCTTGGTCAACATGGTAAAACCCATCTCTACCAAAAATACAAAAATTAGCTAGGCATGGTGTTGGACAAGTGTAATCCCAACTACCCAGGAGGCTGAGGCAGGAGAATCACCTGAACCCAGGAGTTGGAGGTTGCAGTGAGCCAAGATCGCACCATTGCACTCCAGCCTGGGCAGCAGGAGTGAAAATCTGTCTCAAAAAAAAAAAAAAAATAGAATGCATTGCTGTTAAGGTTGTGGTTTGGTGTCCTGGACCACCTGCTACAAGGGTTCTGGTTCAGAGTTTATTTTTGCATAAGTTCTGGCCATTGTCCCTTTGTACATGTGGGTATCTCAGGAATGAATCAACCCCTGTGCCATCAGTACCTTCAGTGCATGGAGTGGGTTGGGGAAAGGTGGCATTTGTTGAACAAAGTGAAAGCCTATCTTTGACATTGGCTCATCCAGCCAATAAACAATTTAGAGCAAATTAATAAAAACAAAATAATTTTGCTGTGAGCCTAAACTGCCCTAAAAAATAAGAATAACATCATAATTCAAAAAGGTACTTTCGTAATAAGAGTAAGGTATCTTTCAGGTCATAGCGCTAACCCAGTTGTCTTCCTGGGTACAAATGTAAACGCCTTACATCCACCTCGACTTCTGGAAGGACGAAACAGGAATCTAGGACAGCCATGGGTGAATACGGTTTTGTCCAGTCACCAGGGGTGGCAAGCCTTTAGGGAACACACAGAGGGCAGGGAGGAGTTGAAGTATCTACGAAAAATAAGGACTCGTCGTAAGCGCTTACGCTGTAATAATCCCAGCACTTTGGGAGGCCGAGGTGAAAGGATTGCTTGAGCCCCGGAGTTCAAGACCAGATAAAGAAACCCCATCTCAAAAATAAATAAATAAAATAAGGACTTCTGCGGGTGATGAAGTTTAAACCTGGGGGTTTTCAGATTCTCCGGGCACCCGAAGTAAAGGTATAGAATCAGACCAGGTGGACATTTCTACAGTTTATCTTTCTGTTCTTCGCAAATGGTTGAGGGAAGAGACACTTCAAGGGGAGGGATTTTATCTCAAAATAATAACTAGCGAGTCTGCTAAACATCTCTGGCAAAGGAAGGATTTTAGGGCTCACAGCGTTGCTTTTCAATTTGCAATTACAAAACCGTGGCACGCCACTTCCCGCTTCTCGCCACCAACCCAACCACCCCGCCCCCAGCCTTGTCCGGAGAAGGAGGGTCCCCACCTGCCTCTAGGAAGCTCGCGCGAGCCAGGAGCTGAGACTGCGATGAGCTGTGAGACGGATGCGCGCCGGCCGGGCGTCGGGGCTTTACGGTAACTGGGCCGTGCGGCGGCGCTGCCTTCGTGCGCCTGCGCAGAGCCGTTGCGGCCCGAGCGCTTGCAGGTTGAGCGGTTTCTAGCCGGCTCCGCTGAGCGGCCGGCGGCTCGACCCAGCCTGTGGCCTCGGCGTCCGCCTCCCGCGGTGCCCTCGGTAACTCGGCGGCCCTCCTGGAGCAGGCGCCCAAGACGTGGGAGGGCGAACGAAATAAACGAAAATAGAGATTTTCCGGAAGGCGAAATACACATCCTCCCTCTGCGCCTGAGCTTGGAGGCGGGCGGCGGTGGGCGCGGGGCACCGTCCCCGGGGAAACTGAGGCTCCGGCAGGTCCGGGCCGGGGGGCGGAGAGGAATGTGGGAGGGCGCGGGGCGCCCTTTGCTCTTCGTACCAAGCTCGACCGAGCCGCCCCTTCCCACCCCCCGCTGTCAACCAGGCCTCCCAAAATAGAGACTGGGCGCTGTCCCCACAGGATCTCCCGAGGACCTTGTCCCCGCGGCTTCCTTGGGCTGGCTTTGGACGACGCTTTCGCCTTCCTAGTGCCTGGGATCCGCCGACATGAATCCCATCGTGGTGGTCCACGGCGGCGGGGCCGGCCCCATCTCCAAGGATCGGAGGGAGCGAGTGCGCCAGGGTGTCGTCAGAGCCGCCACCGTGGGCTACTGCATCCTCCGGGAGGGCGGGAGCGCCGTGGACGCCGTGGAAGGAGCTGTGGTTGCCCTGGAGGACGATCCTGAGTTCAACGCAGGTAAATATGCCTTTCAGCTAGCAAATAATGTGAGTCAAGTCAAGCTCCTCCTTCAGAATAAATAGAACCTATGTACAGTGTCAGGGAATCTAATGAGCTTTAGAGTAAAACTAAATATGTGAAAAAAAGAAATAAGACGTCAGTCAATAAATATAAAATGTACATTGGTTCCCTCTGGAAAGGTAGGACTACTGTGGGGGGCGGTTCCAGGTCATAGGTAGATTCAAAGATTTCTGACAGACAGTTGGTTTAAAGCTTTGTGTAAAGACCTAGACTCCACAGAAGGGAATGTCTGGATTATATAAGGACTTGTGGCTGCAGATGGAATTACTAGAAAGCGGTTGAGCACGGTGGCTCACGCCTGTAATCCCCGCACTTTGGGAGGCCAAGGCGAGCAGATCACCTGAGGTTAGGCGTTGGAGGCCAGCCTGGCTGGAACCTGTAATCCCAGGTACTCGGAAGGCCAAGGCAGGAGAAGCACTTGAACCTGGGAGGCAGAGGTTGCAGTGAGCCGAGATCAAGCCACTGCACTCCAGCCTAGACAACAGAGCAAGACTCCATCTCAAAAGAAAAATTAAAAATAGAAGGGAATGTCTGTGGTTAAAATAAGGGGTGGGGAGATCAAGACTCCCCTCCCCCTGTGCAGAGGAACTCCCCATGTAGCAGGCTATTAAGAAAATAAATTGTAAATGTTTCTTATCAAAGTTGATTCTCTCCTGAATCAGGAAAAGAGCCTAGAAAAGGATAGCTTTGCAGGACGATTTCACAGTATGGCAAAGAAACATAATTTGGGCTAAAATAGTTCACTTTCAGGCCTTACTTTGTGTCATGTCATGTCATACTGGAGTCCTGCTGGAATTTGGTGTCTTATTGCTACAATCAAAGTCAGTTTTGTCAGTCTTAAGTTCTGTTTTAATGTTAATGCTGGTCAGCTGGGCCTGAATTCCAAAAGGAAGGAGGGAATAATGAGGAGGCATATTTTACCTCCCCCTGACAAGTTTCCAAAGGTTTCAGGTTAACTTTGGAATGCAGAGTATATTCTCTTGTGTTTCTCTTCTTTCACTCAGTCCACCCTTTTTTAGAATATTAATCATTATAGCATGTATCAGGCAGTGGTCTAAGAAATTTACTTGATTTATTTAATCTGAACATTAAATGAGTTGATCATTTAACTCAAGTTGGTTAACTTGAGTTAGTTCAACTCAAGTTGGTTAAACTAACTCAACTTAACTCGTAATGAAGATTAAATGATTGAGTTAGGCAAAATTATTATCCTCATATCTTAAGGCACAAAAAGATTAACTTGCTGGAAGACATTCATCTCTTTTTTTTTTTTAAATGGAAAACCTGACATCTAGGCTAGGGATTAAAATATTTCTTGGAATTATACCACCCACCCAACATCTGTGAGGGAAAAGAATTTCAGGAAATCTTAATCTTTGTTCTGTCCCCTTTACAAAGCACTCTGTAACACTCTTTAAATTGTGTAAGTCTACCTGAGACCGGCACACAGTGGCCCATGCCTGTAGTCCCAGCACTTTGGAAAGCTGAGGTGAGCGGATGGCTTGAGCTCAGGAGTTCAATGCCATCCTGAGCAACATGGCAAAACCCCACCTCCAAAGAAAATATAAAAAACAGTGTGGTGGCACGAGCCTGTAGCCCCAGCTTCTCAGGAGGCTGAGGTGGGAAGATTGCTTAAGCCCAGGAGATCAAGGCTGCAATGAGCCAAGACTGTGCCACTGCACTCCAGCCTGGGCGACAGAGTGAGACCCTGTCTCTAAAAATAAAAATAAGTAAATCTGAATTTAAAATGAGACCTCTAACAGTATGCTTACATGGCTCAATTTGTGGAACCAGAATTTACCAGATAGGGACTGACTTTGCCAGCAGAGGGAGCAGCCAGCTCTTTCTGTGGGTGACTTGTAAACCATTGCCTCTTAGCACTCAGAACCCCCTGGGCTGACAAACCCTCACTTATTTACACAGGACCTTTATTTGAAATGGGTCATTTTGGTTTCCCGTCTCTTATTCTAACAATTCCTCATCTGCATGAATTGGGAAGTACGGATTAGGGAATTGGAGCAGCTAGTTCTCATTTTTTTTGCTCTCTATCCAGAGGCCTTCCTTCTCAATGTCTCCCCTCCCATCTTTCAAATGTCTGCTATTCAGCACATTGAGGAAGAAAAGAGTAGAGCTGAAAAGAAGGAAAAAAAGGATTCTGAGGGGAAAGGTGGGACTTTTAACAGCATACTGCGAACCTTTCCGTACAGGCAAACAATATTCCCAGCAGTCTCTGCCATAATCCTCTAGAATAAATAACTGTTTGAGAACTTCATACACAAAGCTGATCCCAGTAGGTATTGAGTTCAGTGGCAATAATTAGCATTCATGACACAACTTGCCTGAACATTTGTAAAAAACATTATGTTTACATTCTATTCCTGTTTCGATATGGATTTTACTTTATGTTTAAAGCTAGTTTCATAATAGTTTATTAAAAAGTGGTTGATTTTTAGATACCAACACTGTAAAGATTGAACTTGCAAATCTGAATGCTAGAAATATTCTTTAAAAACTTCCTTAGATTGGCAGCCAAATAATGACTATTTGCTTTCACTAGAGCTCGGTAGTATTTACACAGCACTTTAGATATTAATTCTCTCTACAATTCAGTGTTATAAACTGCTAGAGAATCTTTGAGAGAACAGGATTTTTTTCATTTATCTACTCTCTTTCTGGACTTACAGAATCAATAAGGTAAAGATCTGTGGTGGAGTCTAGGAATTGTTACTTCTTTGTTTTGAAGATTCCCAGGTGATTCTGAGATACAACCAGGTTTAGAATCTACAAACCTAATACCACCATACAATTTTAATGGGTTTGGTGGCTGGTTTTTGGTATAATTTGCACATAATAAAATTCTCTTTTCAGTATACAGTTCCCCGACACTGACAGATACATGGAGTCATGTAACTACCACGGCAATCAAGATATAAAACAGTTCCGTTACTCTCCCACGTGCCTGTGAGTCCACGGCTCCATTCACTCCCAGCTCCTGGCAACAACTCATCTGTTCTCTATCCCGGTAGTTTTGCCATTTCCGAATGTCATAAATGGCAGCACTTTGGGAGGCTGAGGCAGGTGGATCACTTGAGGCCAGGAGTTCAAGAACAGCCTGGCCAACATGGCGAAACACTGTCTCTACTAAAAATACAAAACATAGCCCGTCGTGGTGTCACACACCTGCAGTCCCAGCTACTCAGGAGGCTAAGGCACAAGAATCACTTGAACCTGGGAGGTGAAGGTTACAGTGCTGCCACTGCAATCCAGCCTGGGCAAAAAAGGGAGACTCAAAAAAAAAAAAAAATGAATGTCATAAATAGAATCATGCAATATGTAACCTTAGTCTGTATTCTTCAGTTAGCTAATGCATTAGAGTGTTACCTGTGTAGACATGAGTGTCAGTCATTTTTCCCTTTCAATTGAGTAGTAATTCATTGTATGAATATACCACAGTTGATTTAACCATGTAACAGCTAAAGGACATGTTCCATTTGGGGCCATTATAAATAAAATCACTGTAAATATTTGCATACAGGTTTTTATGTGAACATAAGTTTTTATCTCCCTTAAGAGGGAATATGTAGGAGTGAGACTGCTGGCTTGTGGCAAGAATTTAACTTCATTATAAACTGCCAAACTTTTACTTTTCCCACTATCAATGTGTGGAAGTTCCACTTAGAAGTCAGGCACGGTGGCTCACACCTGTAATCTCAGCACGTTGGGAGGCCAAAGCAGGTGGATCACGAGGTCAAGAGTTTGAGACCAGTCTAGCCAACATAGTGAAATCCCATCTCTACTAAAAGTACAAAAATTAGTTGCGTGTGGTGGCGGGTACTTGTAGTCCCAGCTACTTGGGAGACTGAGGCAGAAGAATCACTTGAACCCGGGAGGTGGAGGTTGTGGTCAGCCAAGATCCCACCACTGGACTCCAGCCTGGGTGACAAGAGTAAGACTCCGTCTCAAAAAAATAAAAATAAAATTATCCACTCTGCCTATACATGTCTTTTAATTAGTGTATTTAGAAGATTTGCATTTTATATAATCACTGATACATTGAGGTGTAAACCTGCTACTGTGTGTCTAGTGTTCTGTTTGCTGGTTTTGCTTTCTTTTTCTTGCCTCCCTATGAGTTACTTGAGCATTTTTTAGAATTTCGTTCTGTTTTACCTGTAGTATTACTGAGTGTATTTCTCTGTCAAGATGCTGTAGGTGTTTGCTCTAGAATTTATGCTGTAGATGGATAAACACATGTAACTTATCACAGTCTAAAAAGTTAACACTTTACCAGGTTATGCAGCCTATAGAAGACTTACCTTTCTTTATAGTCCCTTTACTTACCTTTCTTTATAGTCCCCTGCTGATCATATAATTGTCTGAGATATTTCCGCTATGTACATTGAGAACCACTTCAGACAGTGTTACCATTTTTGCTTTAAACGGCAAATGTAATTTGGAAAATTCAAGAGGAGAAGGAAAGTCTATCATATTTACCCTTTTTTTTTTACTCCTTCCTTTATTCTTCCTTCCTCACGTTCCAGGATGCCTTTTTGGCCAAGCATGGTGGCTCACACATGTAAACCCAGCACTTTGGGAGGCCAAAAACACTACTGTTTGCCTACACATGCTAGACATTGTTCTGAGTGTTTAATATGCAATATCTACCTCATTGGTGGTTGTAAGGATTAAATGAGTTGATGTTCTTACTCATTTTACAGATGAGGAAACAGGCACAAAGAGGTTGAGAAGCACAGCTAGGTTTGTAGGCATTATCTGGGCAGAGAAATACAGAGAGAGGGTGCTAGTGGTAAAAACAACAGCATGTGCAAAGGCACAGTGACACGCGGGCTCCTGGTATATAGTAGTCCTCCCTTATCTATGGGGGATGTGTTCCAAACCGCCTGTGGGTACCTGAAACCAACCAATGGTACTCAACCTTCCATACATACTTACATACATATGATAAAGTTTAGTATCTTAATTCAGCACAGTAAGAGATTAATAACAGTAACTGATAATAAAATAGAACAATTGTGACAGTATGCCAGCATCACTACTCTTGCACTTTGAGAACATTATTAAGTAGAATAAGGTTTCTCGAGCACAAACACTGTGGTACTACTCAATAATCAAGACGGCTGCTAAGTGACTAACAGCAGGGAACCTATACAGTGTGGATGTGCTGGACAAAGGGAGGAATCGTAGCTGGGCGCTCTGGCTCATGCCTGTAATTCCAGCACTTTGGGAGGCTGAGGCAGGTGAATCATGAGGTCAGGAGTTCAAGACCAGCATGGCCAATATGGTGTAACCTCGTCTTTACTAAAAATACAAAAATTAGCCAGGTGTGGTGCCACACGCCCGTGGTCCCAGCTACTCGGGAGGCTGAGGCAGAAGAATCACTTGAACCTGGGAGACGGAGGTTGCAGAGATCACGCCACTGCACTTCGGCACTTCACCCGGGGCAATAGAGCGAGACTCTGTCTCAAAAACAATAATAATAAAAATGAAGGAATCACATTGTTTATTACTGGAATTTTCCATTTAAAAATTTGGGGCCAAGGTTGACCAAGGGTTAACTGAAACCTCAGAAGCAAGGCTGTAGATAAAGGGGACTACTGTATTCAGGGAAACCTAATATTTCAGGAAAATATAGCCAAGGAGAGAAAATGAAGCTGGAAAAGCAGGTCAGAGGTCAGGTTGGGAAGGGCTTTGTACTTTTTATTTTGTAGGTCATGAAATGCCAAGTCAGACTTCTTTTTTTTTTTTTTTTTTTGGATGAAATCTTACTCTGTCACTCTTGGCTCATGGCAAACTCCACCTCTCGTGTTCAGGTGATTCTCCTGCCTCAGCCTCCTGAGTAGCTGAGATTATAACCACGTACCACCACATCAGGCTAATTTTTATATTTTTAGTAGAGACAGGGTTTCACCATGTTGGCCAAGCTGGTCTCAAACTCCCGACTGCAAGTGATACACCCACCTTGATTTCCCAAAGTTCTGGGATTACAGGCATGAGCCACTGCAACCAGCCTCCAAGTCAAGATTTCTCTCATAAAAAAAAAAAAAAAAAAAAAAAATGTTCCTCTGGCAATGGAATAGAGGATGAATTAAATAATTAAATGGGGCAAATTTGAGGAAAATCTGGAGCTGTTTCTTTTTTTTTTTTTTTTTTTTTTTTTGAGACAGAGTTTCGCTCTTGTTACCCAGGCCGGAGTGCAATGGCGCGATCTCAGCTCACCGCAACCTCCGCCTCCTGGGTTCAGGTAATTCTCCTGCCTCAGCCTCCTGAGTAGCTGGGATTACAGGCACACGCCACCACGCCCAGCTAGTTTTTTGTATTTTTAGTAGAGACGGGGTTTCACCATGTTGACCAGGATGGTCTTGATCTCTTGACCTTGTGATATACCCGCCTCGGCCTCCCAAAGTGCTGGGATTACAGGCTTGAGCCACCGCGCCCGGCCGAAAATCTGGAGCTGTTTCTAAATTCTTAATTCTCGCTTTTCAACTTGTTTCTGGTTTTAGGTTGTGGGTCTGTCTTGAACACAAATGGTGAGGTTGAAATGGACGCCAGTATCATGGAGGGAAAAGACCTGTCTACAGGAGCAGTGTCCGCAGTCCCGGGTATAGCAAATCCCATTAAACTTGCTCGGCTTGTCATGGAAAAGGTATATTTGACTAAAGCATCATTTTCCTAATTAATTGTTATTGCTGTACTTCAGTGATAAAGGCTCCAACTGTGCAGAAATACTTGAGATCACTGTTCTCATAAAATATATAAAAAAACAGAAGTCATGTATTTGAGTTTCTCAAATCAGCCAAGATTCTTGATTAGTAATCACTGGACAAGTGAGTGATTACTTTATCTTTCTGTATTTTCTTCACAGCACATACAAACTGACCAGACCAGCTATTTAATAGCATTTGTTAAAGATGGATTGAGTTCTCTAAATTTAACATAATATGTAAATCGCACCTCTAGTAACATTCCATCAAGGTCTTTTTTTTTTTTTTTTTTTTTTTTTTTTTGAGACAGAGTTTTGCTCTTGTCCAAGCTGGAATGCAATGACACCATCTCAGCTCACTGCAACGTCCACCTCCCAGGTTCAAGCAATTCTCTTGCCTCAGCCTCCCAAGTAGCTGGGATTACAGGCATGCACCACCACACCTGGCTAATTTTGTATTTTTAATGGAGACGAGGTCTCTCCATGTTGGTCAGGCTGGTCTCAAACTCCAGACCTCAGGTGATCCCCCAGCCTCGGCCTCCCAAAGTGCTGGAATTACAGGTATGAGCCACCACGCTTGGCTGGGGTCTTTTTTTAATGCAAAAACTCAGAAGAGAGCCGGGCTTTGTTCAATATACAGAAAAGCAAAGTACTGGAATTTGTATTTTTGAGCCTTTTCGCTCAAAGAGAAGTGATTATTTCAACACAGTTGGAACCAGTTTAAAAGAGTTAAAATTTTCCAAAAACCAATCCTTTTCTCTCTTCTTTCTGGCGCAGACACCCCATTGCTTTCTGACTCACCACGGTGCAGCGCAATTTGCAGCAGCTATGGGAGTTCCAGAGATTCCGGCAGAAAAACTGATAACAGAGAGAAACAAAAAGCGTCTGGAAAAAGAGAAGCATGAAAAAGATGCTCAGAAAACAGATTGTCAAAAGTAGGTCTTACCTGTAGCTCACATTATTTGAGAGTTATTAAAATATGAAAGTTTGGCAAATACCTGATTATCTACATTTTTTAAATTTTTTTTTTTTTTTTTTTGAGACGGAGTTTTGCTTTTGTTACCCAGGCTGGAGTGCAATGGTGTGATCTCGGCTCACTGCAACTTTTGCCTCCTGGGTTCAGGCAATTTTCCTACCTCAGCCTCCTGAGTAGCTGGGATTACAGGCACGCGCCACCATGCCCAGCTCATTTTTTGCACCTTAGTAGAGATGGGGTTTCACCATGTTGACCAGGATGGTCTCGATCTCTTGACCTCATGATCCACCCGCCTCGGCCTCCCAAAGTGCTGGGATTACAAGCTGGAGCCCGGCCCCTCTTTTTTTTTTTTTTTGAGATGGAGTCTTCTGTTGCCCAGGCTGGAGTGCAGTGGTGCGATCTTAGCTCACTGCAACCTCCACCTTCCGGGTTCAAGCAATTCTTCTTCCTCAGCCTCCTGAGTAGCTGGGACTACAGGCATGTGCCACCATGCCTGGCTAATTTTTTTTTTTTTCTTTTTAGTAGAGACAGGGTTTATTTAAAAGATTTAGTTAATTTCAAAAAAAAGTAGTGTTAAAATTTTTAGCTTCTATGTAATTTTCGCCTTGATGTGTTATATTTAGTAATTACAATTCATGTTTTATCTTTTTTTTTAAATCTTTTTGCACTGGCATCTTGGTATTGCTGGTATTTGGTACAATTCATGATTTACTGTTAATGTTAATAAAAATTAACCAGGTATGGTGGCTCATGCCTATAATCCCAGCACCTTGGGAGTCTGAGGCGGGCTAGTCACCTGAGGTCAGGAGTTCGAGACCAGCCTGACCAACATGGAGAAACCTCGTCTCTACTAAAAATACAAAATTAGCTGGACATGGTGGTACATGCTGGTAATCCCAGATACTCAGGAGTCTGAGGCAGGAGAATCTCTTGAACCCAGGAGGCGAAGGTTGTGGTGAGCCAAGGTCTCACCAGTGCACTCCAGCCTGGGAAACAAGAACAAAACTCCGTCTTTAAAAAAACAAACAAAAAAAAATTAATTAAAAATTTTGTATATTTTACAATTACTTTGATAACTTTTTGGAAATTATACCTGCAAAATACTTTTTTTTTGAGACAGAGTCACACTCTGTTGCCCAGGCTGGAGTGCAGTGGTGTGATCTCAGCTAACTGCAACCTCTGCCTCCCATGTTCAAGCAATTCTCCTGCCTCAGCCTCCCCAGTATCTGGGATTACAAGTGTGTGCCACCACACTTCGCCAATTTTTGTGTTTTTAGAAGAGACAGGGTTTCACCATGTTGGCCAGACTGGTCTCAAACTCCTGACCTCAGGTGATCTACCCACCTCAGCCTCCCAAAGTGCTGGAATTATACAAGCATGCCTGGCCAATTTTTTTTTTTTATTAGCTCTTTATTTTTTGATGAAAATACATTCTCTACTTGGGAGGCCAAGGCAGGAGAATCACTAGAACTCGGGAGGTGGAGGTTGTGGTGAGCCGAGATCGCGCCATTGCACTCCAGCCTGGGCAACAAGAGTGAAACTCCGTCTCAAAAAAAAAAAAAAAAGAAAAGAAAATACATTCTCATTTTTTACACTTTGGATGTAATTACGTTTCACTTTTAATCCCTTAGATTATGGAAAATGAGTATAAGTCAAGACTTTGATAGAATAAGAATGCTAAAGTGGAGCTCGCAAAAAAAAAATAAAAAAAGAAAAAGGAAGTAAAACTCTTCAAAGAAGCAGGCTGCTTGCATTTGCCAACTCTGGAAACAATAAAAATAAGCAATCTTCTTCCAGAGTGACCCACATAAAATTCACAAACAAGGCATTACAAAGGTTTTGTTAAATGAAGATCTACTTATTAATCAAAACAATGAAAATTAGTAAGAAAATTATTTTCACCAAATCCACAGTTTGAACAAGTCAGATAAAATCCTTGCAACTTCTTATTCTTTACTAAAGGAAGATTTAATTGCTAATCACAAAGAATCACAGACAAAAAAGCATACAGGCAGTTACAGGAATCGAGGGAAAGAGGCCAAATAAACAGACGATTGATGTTACCGGAAACAGAAAACTATTTATAAAACAGTTTTATAAAGCAGTATATAAAACACAGATGGGATTGATGTTCTTGAAAGAATAATACAATGTGTCCAATACTTAGCCATGCCTAATCTTTTCATGACACTATCAGTACAGTGAGTGCAAAAAACAATGGAAATTTTCTAGGTTTAGTAAAAGAGATTTCAAAATTTGGTAAAACGCTAAACATGTAATGAAAACAATACTATTTTTCTTTTCTGTGAATTTGCCTATTTTTGTCCTATACTCATTTTTTCCTTTGAATTCTTTTTTCTCTTATCAGTCTTTCTTTCTTTCTTTCTTTCTTTTACTTTTTTTTAACATTCTTTATAGATAGATGAGATTTCTCTATGTCGATCAGGCTGGCCTTGATTTCCTGGGTTCAAGTGGTCCTCCTGCTTCAGCCTCTTGAGTAGCAGGAATTATAGGCACAAGCCACTGTGTCTGGCTCTTTCTTATCAGCCTTAAGGTTATACTCTGCTGTAATTTTTTTTAAAAAATTAAAAATACCAAATCTGTTGTTTTTATTTTGCTTTGGCTCTGGTATTTTTGCCATATAAAAGATTTTAGGGCCAGGGACGGTGACTCACGCCTATAATCCCAGCATTTTGGGAGGCCAAACTGGGCAGATCACCTGAGGTCAGGAGTTCGAGACCAGCCTGGCCGACATGGTAAAACCTCGTCTCTACTAAAAATACAACAATTAGCTGGGCATGGTGGCGTGTGCCTGTTGTCTCAGCTACTCAGGAGGCTGAGGCAGGAGAATCACTTGAACCTGAGAGGCAGAGGTTGCAGTGAGCTGAGATGGTGCCATTGCACTCCAGCCTGGGCAACAAGAGCAAGACTCCATCTCAAAAAACAAAATAAAATAACTGGTCTCAAACTCCTGACCTCAGATGATCTGCCTTGGCTTCCCAAAGTACTGGGATAGATTTAATTTTTGGTAATCAAATATGCCTTCCCCTTCTTTTATAGTCATAAGACTTGAAACTCGTAACGTAGTCCCCTAGCCTGACACATGAAGTCACCTAGATTTTCTTGAAAAAATTTGTTTTGTGTTTTATATGTAGATGTTTAGCCATCTGGAGTTAGTTTTTATGATGATGGAAAGTGGGATTCCTATTTGCTTTTCTTCTAGCAAGGATGCCAAATTTCTCTCAAGCCCCTCGAATACCAGACTCTATCCGGCTGCTATTCATTCTCCACGTTACTGCCTAACCTCAAGCTTAAATCCAAAACTGAATTTATTTCTCCACCCTGCTCTACACACACATACACACACACACACACACCAGCAAGAAAACAGAAAACCTATTCCTAATAGTCTTCTACATTTCAATAATTGTTCTTATATCCTTTCAGCTGCTAAAGCCAAAAGCCTTAATGTCTGTCATGATTTCCAGTCCTCCTGGAAATTCTATCAGCTCTACCTTCAAAATTCCCCAACTCCAGCCTACGTCTTACCTCTCCGCTGAAACCATCCTGACCCAAACCACTGCCTCCTCAAGCCTCCTAACCGGTCTCTGTTTCTACTCTGGTCCTCAGTGAATACCACATTTCAGCCAGAATAATTATTTTAAGATAGGCTGGGCACAGCGTCAGCCAGAATAATTATTTTAAGATAGGCTGGGCATGGTGGCTCACGCCTATAATCCCAGCACTTTGGGAGGCCGAGAAGGATGGATCACTCGAGGCCAGGAGTTCAAGACCAGTGAGCTGAGATCACACCAGTGCACTCCAGCCTGGGCAACAGAACCAGACTCCATCTCAAAAAATATATTTTTTAAGATAAAAATATTATCGATGTATAGCATACATACGGAAGTACACAAATCCCGCGTATGCACATTGATGAATGTTCAGAGGGAAAACACCCGTGTGATCAGCATCTGGTTGAAGAAGGATGTTGCCAGGCTCCCCTCACTCCCCTTTCTACTCACTACCCTGCCCCCAAGGTGACCACTTTGGTAACTTCTACGTAGATGAGTGTTGCCTGTCTTTTACCTTTATTTTCAGTGAAATCGTATAGTATATCCTTTTTTGGCCTCAAGATGATACTTCTGAGATTCATCTGTTTGTTGCAATTGTTCATTCTCATCACAGTGTAGTATTCCAGTTCATTAACACACCACAGCTTATCTGCTCGACCTGTGGTGGACATTTGTGTTTTCAGTTTAGGGTGACAGTAGCTCCCCCTTATCTGCGGTTTTGCTTTCTGTGCTTTCAGTTGCCCACACTCAACTGCGTTCTGATGTTTTGAGAGACTACATTCACATAACTTTTAGTACAGTGTATTGTTATAATCGTATTATTGTATTGTTAATCTTTTACTGTACCTAATTTATCAATTAAACTTTATGATAGGTATGTACATACAGTACATCAGAAAACATAGTATTTATAGAGGTCAGTCATAGCTGAGGTTTCAGGCACCCACTAAGGGTCTTGGAACGTATCCCCTGCAGATAAGCGGGGACTAGTATATTATGCCTACTGCTGCTGTGAACACTAATATATGCTTTTTCGGTGAACACCTGCCACATTTCTGATGGACAGATACACAGGTGAATAATTGCTGAGTCATGGAATGTACATATGATCAGTTTTAGTAGATATTGTGAAACGATTTTCCAAAGATGTTGGTACAGTTGGCACTAACAGCAGGATTGAATGAGTGTTCCAGTTCCTGCACACGCTTGCCAGGTTTGATATGTCTCTTTCATTTTAGCCATTCTGCTGCAGGGCGGGTAGAGTGGAAAGAATGATTTTTGGTTTTTTTTCCCTGAGACAGAGTCTCGCTCTGTCGCCCAGGCTGGAATGCAATGGCGCCACCTCGGCTCACTGCAACCTCCGCCTCCTGGGTTCAAGCAATTCTCCTGCCTCAGCTTCCTAAATAGCTGGGATTACAGGCACCCACCACCACACTCAGCTAATTTTTTTGTATATTTAGTAAAGATGGGGTTTCACCATGTTAGCCAGGCTGGTCTCAAACTCCTGACCTCAGGTGATCCACCTGCCTCAGCCTCCCGAAGTGCTGGAATTACAGACCTGAGCCACCACACCTGGTCCAGAGTGATTATTTTTAAGATTAAACTTAGATTGTGGCACTTCTTAACTCAGACTCCCCAGTGTCCTCTCGTTTCACTCAGAATGAAAGCCTTTGCAATGGCCTAAAAGTAGGATGATTATATTATTTGCTGTTTAAACTGGAACTCTTATCTTGAGAGTAAAAGTGCCACTATTAATATTTAAGCCATGATAGCAGGCATAAACTTAAACTGTCCTGGGTAACTAGTACATATAGTCACCCCAGTTGTCAGAGACGTTGTGATCTGGCCTTGGCTGTCCCTGTGATCATTCGCCTACCATGCGCTCCCCCATTTTATTCTCCCCAACCATGCTGGCCTCCTTCAAATTCCATGTACATGGCAGGCATGTTTGTGCATTAGAAACATTCCTCCCCAGCAGTTGATATGGCATGTTGCCCCTCTGTCCTGCAGAGACACCCTGTATAAAACAGCGTCTCCCCACCATCACTCTTCCCTGATGCTGCAGTATTCTTCTTTGTTTTTTATTTGGGTTTTGGGGGGAGAGAAGGGAGGAGGGTTGGTTTTGTATGTGTGTGGTGGTGGTGGGGGTTCTTGTTCTCCTGACACACTATGGCCCTGTTACTACCACCCTCTACCCCAAATGCATGCTCCATGGAAGAAGGGACTTTGTTTAGCTTACCACTGTGTCCCAACACTTAAAACAGTTCCTCGAGGCCGAGCACAGTGGCTTACACCTATAATCCCACACTTCGGGAGGCCGAGGCAGGTGAATCACCTGAGGTCAGGAATTCAAGACCAGTCTGACAAACATAGAGAAACCCTGTCTCTACTACAAATACAAAATTAGACAGGCATGGTGGCACATGCCTGTAATCCCAGCTACTCGGGAGAATCACTTGAACCCAGGAGGCGGAGGTTGCGGTGATCCAAGATCACACCATTGCATTCCAGCCTGGGCAATAAGAGGAAACTCCATCTCAAAAAAAAAAAACAGTGCCTTATATACAATTTATTATAGAATTTTGCTGGTGGATATTGGGTATTAGTGGACAATTTCTTCAACTTTGTTACAGTCATGTACAGCATGACAGGATGAGAAATGCATAGTTGGGCAATTTCATGGCTGTGCAAACATCATGGGGTGCGCTCACACCCAGAGATGTGCAGAGCCTACTGCACGTCCAGGCTGCGCAGCTCAACCTGTTGTCTCCAGGCTACAAACCTGAGCAGCACGTGACTTTGCTGAATACTGTAGGCAGTTGTAACACAATGGTAAGTATTTGTGTATTGAAACATAGAAAAGGTACAGTAAAAATAGAGTCTTACAATCTCATGGGACCACCTTCATATATGTAGATGCAGTCTGTTGTTGATCCAAACATCATGGCACATGACTGTATTTAACAATTCATAATAAAATGTTAAGGGAAATTAACTGATTTGATCTTTACGACAACTGCATGACACAGGGTCCATAGGCATGCAGCATCAGCAACACCCAGGAGGTTGTCAGAAATGCAGGATCGGCCAGGCACAATGACTCACACCTGTAATCCTAACATTTTGGAAGGCCAAGGCGGGCAGATCACCTGAGGTCATAGATTCGAGACCAGCCTGGCCAACACGGTGAAACCCCATCTTTACAAAAAATATAAAAATTAGCCAGGTGTGGTGGCACATCCCTGTAATCCCAGCTACTCAGGAGGCTAAAGCAGGAGAATCACTTGAACCTGGGAGGCAGAGGTTGCAGTGAGCCAAGATTGTGCCACTGCACTCCAGTCTGGGTGACAGAGTGAGACTCTGTCTCACACACACACACACACACACACACACACACACACACACAGGTTATTGGGTCCCACCCCGTATCTACCAACTCACTTTTTCCTTTCCTTTCTTCTCTTGGTGGCAGCTTCAAAATCTCTGTGGGCTCAAGGATCGGAGGGATTCTTACAGACACTAAAGTTTGAGATGCACCTTATTTTTTTCCCTATTTTATGATAGGGACAATGACACAAAAGAAAACTTAAGGGCACAGCTAGCAAACGGTGGTGCTGGGATTGGATGTGCTCTTAAAGCTGAGGTGTAGAGGAGTGTCCAGCAATCCACCTGTAACTTACATGTAGAATGAGAAGCAGGCAGGTTCTCTCTAGAATGTTGGAGTTAAAGGGTGAAGCTACATTGTTGGTTATGGGGTTCATTCTCATTTTCAGCCTGTCCCTTTTTTCTGTTTACTTTTGGCAGAAACTTGGGAACTGTGGGTGCTGTTGCCTTGGACTGCAAAGGGAATGTGGCCTATGCAACCTCTACAGGGGGTCTCGTTAATAAAATGGTCGGCCGCGTCGGGGACTCGCCGTGTGTAGGTAGGACCAAGGGATGGCTCCTGCCCCTTCTCGTTTCCTCCATCCTCAGGCTCTCCTCGTTCCCTATTCCCGGCCCCCGCTCCCTTTCTTGCTGCGTTCCCTTTCTGCTCTTGGTGCAGCTCCAAGATGTCTGGGAGTGAAATGGGGTTGGAAGGGGCTGTTCGGGGCCCTGCTTTGGGAGGGTGTTTGTATCGGCGACACTGTTTTCCTAGAACGCGTGCCTTTTCAGAACAACTTGGGGAGAGAAGTGGAGACAGGGATGCTAAAGTTGCCCCCCATTTACCCAATAGTGATTCTGCCTTCTTAGCCACAGTTTCAGGATCTGCAGACTTACTTGAGTGAGACTTGCTCCCCAGACATGGGCTCTAATTAGCAATCTGAGAAATCTGAGAGTTTAAGACTGCGGTTATTAGATTTGAGCAGCATGAAAGCGACAGACTTCTACAGACATAGTACAGATTGAGATGTTGTTTGCAATAACGGGGAAGCGTATCAGCTCATTCCCGTGAGCGGGTGAGAAGCACTTAACGTGTTGTTCTAGTCTTTAGTAATAATCTACACTCTTGAGAATTATTGATACCCTTTTTCTGTCATGAACCTCAGAGACACTGGAGGCTTCCTTAAAGAGTAGAGGCTTGGTAATGCCTCTCCTCCTTCATAAATCACCCAAGAGATAGGAAGTAGTCTACCTTTCTTTCTCCTTAGCAAAAATCCTACCAAACTGTCCCTAGTCAGTAGTGCAGATTGCTTCAGCTGGGTTCAGACCAGACCACAGGGTCACTCCAGGTTAGATCCTAGAAATTAATTTTTTTTTCAAGACAGAGTCTCGCTCTGGAGGGCAGTGGAGCGATCTTGGCTCACTGCAACCTCCACCTCCCAGGTTCAAGTGATTCTCCTGTCTCAGCCTCCTGAGTAGCTGGGATTACAGGTGCACACCACCACGCCCAGCTAATATTTTTTGTATTTTTAGTAGAGACAGGGTTTCACCATCTTGGCCAGGATGGTCTCAATCTCTTGACCTCGTGATCTGCCTGCCTCGCAGATCCCAAAGTGCTGGGATTACAGGCATGCACCACCGTGCCCAGCCTAGAAATTAATTTTAAACTTCAGTTACAGTGGTAAATCTAGACAAGAAGAGGCATAGCTAAATTCTCAGAAGTCCTTGTCCAGCTGTGAGCACCAGGTGTGCTTTGCCTGGCCTTCTGAGCAGCCTAGGCCCCTGGGTGGACAGTCAGGAGGGACAGTGCTAGGCACAGCAGTGGTCACTCGGCAATCCACTTGTCCTGAGAAGTGCATGTGGTGGGAAGGACAGCTTCACAGACCTGACGCCTGTGCCAGGACCACCCTTGGAGGCACCTGGCCTTCTGTGGTCCTAGAGTAACTGAAAAGCAAGCAAAGACTTGGCTGCTTCCAAATATTAGGGCAGATTGACACCATGGGACCTGGCCAGTTTATTCCGTAGCAGAAGCTTACAGGAAAAAGGAAGGCCATGCGCAGTTGCTCATGCCTATAATCCCAGCACTGTGGGAGGCCAAGGCAGGTGGATCACAGGTCAAGAGTTCAAGACCAGCCTGGACAGCATGGTGAAACCCTATCTCTACTAAAAATACAAAAATTAGCTGGGTATGGTGGTGCACACCTATAGTCCCAGCTACTCGGGAGGCTGAGTCAGGAGAATCGCTTAAACCCAGGAGGCAGAAGTTGCAGTGAGCCGAGATTGCGCCACTGCCCTCCAGCCAGGTGACAGATGGAGACTCCATCTCAAAAAAAAAAGAAAAAGAAAAAGAGCCGGGCACGGTGGCTCAAGCCTGTAATCCCAGCACTTTGGGAGGCCGAGGCGGGTGGATCACGAGGTCGAGAGATCGAGACCATCCTGGTCAACATGGTGAAACCCCATCTCTACTAAAAATACAAAAAATTAGCTGGGCATGGTGGCGCGTGCCTGTAATCCCAGCTACTCAGGAGGCTGAGGCAGGAGAATTGCCTGAACCCAGGAGGCGGAGGTTGCGATGAGCCGATATCGCGCCATTGCACTCCAGCCTGGGTAACAAGAGCGAAACTCCGTCTCAAAAAAAAAAAAAAGAAAAAGAAAAAGAAAAAGAAAGGCTCCTCCTCCCACTGCAGCAGCTCACTCACTGCCCAGTGTCATCTCCCTCCAGAACCAGAGCCAGGGATGATCTGCCTTTGAGAACCTCTGGGGCCTTGTGACAATTCAGTGCAACATCTCAACTCCTGAGTCCTTGCCCCATGTCCAGCATCCGTAAGTAAGGCAAATGTCAGTCATCTCTGCTTCTGTATCAACTGCAGGAGAGTAAAAGTGAGTCCTTCCAAAGCTAAAGGACTCAGGCTGGTAGCTGTGTGTGAACAGATAGAGGAACAGATAGAGGAATGATTTAGAGAAGGCTGTAAGGTTGCTTGATCCCAGAACAAAATAAGGAAGAATCTTATCAAAGTAGCTTTTGCTGCAGACCCCTGCTTAAGTGGATAGCCCAGAATAGTTCCCTTAGGTCCAACCATGCCCACCCTCAACACATAGAGCTGCCCTCCATTGGACAGTGTGCACGGATGTTAGGTTGTGGGTATCCGTTTTCCCAGAATCACTGGAACCTGATGGCCTTGCTAGAGATCCATGTAATGCAGTCACGCTGTTTCTCCTCCATAGTGTGTGGGGCCTGAGGAGGAGGCAGGGAGGTGGGGCTTCATTGAGCAGAAAGGAATGGCTATGCTTCGGGGCCAAGGAGACGCTGTCCTGCTGTAGCTGCTTGTGAAGGTCAGGCCTGCCCTCCTGAGGCTCCCTTTATGCTCCTCCATTCTGGGGCATCTACATGGCACTTTCTAGTCTAGACCCGCAGCATGCAGACACTGTGGGCTGAAAGGTGGGGAGGGAGGCTCCGGCAGAGTTGGAGGCGTCTGGAAGTGAGACAAGAGCTACAGACACACTGATGGGCAAAGTCCAGGTGACCCTCAGAATGTTGCACAAGAACATCAGGGAAAAGAACCAAAATCCTTTAATGGAAATTTTCTCCATATATGCGAGACTAACCTGATTTTCCTAAGAAAGTCTGTGGATCATGGCTGCTAACCTGACCTTCGTCTATACTTGAGCGCCCTTCATGATTTAACTTTCACATAGCGTCCGACTTCTGATATGGATTTGAATTCCTCAACTGTGAATGCTCAGAACAATCACCCTTTTTGAGCAGGATCCGGAGGTTATGCTGACAATGACATCGGAGCCATCTCAACCACAGGGCACGGGGAAAGCATCCTGAAGGTGAACCTGGCCAGACTCACTCTGTTCCACATGGAACAAGGTACACAGACCACAGGACAAGTCAAATAATTTGTGAAGACAAATGCTTAGAAGGTATTTGATAAGTAAATGCATGGAGACGTGTAGGAAATCCTTTCCTGTTGGCTACAGATGTTGCTTTCAGGTCCTTAATGCTGTCTTGACTCTCCACCTTCCCTTAGGTCTGGAATGGGAGAGCATTAAGTACTGTTATCTTCCACATCTCAGGAGAAGGGGGCAGTGGAGAGACACTGAGCCTGAGAGAGGGAGGGAAGACCCCTCTGCTTGGGCTGATGCTAGGGCGCTGTCTCAGGGCAAGGAGGGGAGGACCCTCCTTTTAAGCGTTCGGGTGTTCATTTACCACAAATCCTTCCTAGTTCACTTTGGCGTTTCTAACTGCAAGTGATTTTCCCAGGAGATTCCGTTTAGTAACGTGTTTTTTCTCAACCCTTCCTTATTTTCAGGAAAGACACTAGAAGAGGCTGCGGACCTATCGTTGGGTTATATGAAGTCAAGGGTCAAAGGTTTAGGTGGCCTCATCTTGGTTAGCAAGACAGGAGACTGGGTGGCGAAGTGGACCTCTGCCTCCATGCCCTGGGCAGCCGCCAAGGACGGCAAGCTGCACTTTGGAATTGATCCTGGTGAAACTACTATCACAGACCTGGCCTAAGCCCCTGGAAGACTGTGTTCCAGATGCTAGCTTAGAGGAAGAGTACAGTCTCCTCATGAGACACAGCCTAATCAACTAGATCCAGAAACGGGAAAAAAATTGTGCAGTCTGTCACTTGTTTTGTTGCCTTAATAAACATCTGAATGTTTGGTTGAGGGGCAGGTTCTAAAGTCACGAGAGACATGCCCATGAGCCATAATTACTCTACCACACTCCAGCCTGGGCAACAGAGCGAGATATCCAAAAAAAAAAAAAGAGAAAAAGCAGCAGCATGATCCTGACACGACAGATTTGGGAGACCCGCAGCATGCAGACACTGTGGGCTGAAAGGTGGGGAGGGAGGCTCCGGCAGAGTTGGAGGCATCTGGAAGTGAGACAAGAGCCACAGACACACTGATGGGCAAAGTACAAGAACATCAGGGAAAAGAACCAAAATCCTTTAAGGGAAATACTCTATGTATGAGAGACTAAACTGATTTTCCTAAGAAAGTTCAGGTCTTCCCTGACTTATCTGGATGTTTCCAGATATTTCCAAAGGACCCAGATACTCCCAAAGAAACCATAGCTCCCTAACCTGGAGATGGAAAGGTCATAATGGAGACACTGTGGGATTCCGTGAAGTTTCTTGGGTTCAGAGATGAGCCTCCCTCAGTGTTCTCCCATGAGCCAGACTCCACCTGCTGAACACCCTCTGGTCCTCGTATAGTGAGTGACGGAACTCACAGCCTCTCCAACAACAGACAGGAGCCGACCGCTGTAGGGCTGATCCCATGACTTCCTGCGTCCTCATCCTGTTTTGTGCTTTGAGATTCTTCCCACCTCCCCACCTCCAGCAGCTGGATCGGGCGCTGTGCAGTGTGGTCAGCATGCTGAAGAAAGTCATTTCCTTGGGGACGATATTCCCCTTTATCTCCTGTTACACTGGAAATGCGACATGTAATGTAATTCCGCTGTAATATCCATGCTCAGGTTTTTAGTGTCTCAGAGCTCACCTTCTCTCTGGAAAGAAATTGCCTAACTTTACATTCCATGTGCTGCTAATAAAATGTATTTTGAAAGAGTAAGAGTGTGGTTGGGAGTCACTGTTGACAAAGACCAGAAGGCACACGAGCTGTCCCCTTGGCCTCAAGTCCGACGTACCAAAGAAACCTTGAGATGGGGGTGGTGTGGGGGGTGGTACCTGCCCCCTTGTGGAGGACATGTCAGTTTTTCCCAGGAACTGAACTTCTGAGTGGCTTAAGGAAGAAGCCAAACCATGTTAGGGTTTATGGCTCAGTCCTCCTGCAGTTTGCCAATATTCACCCCAGACAGAGGTGCGCAGTTCTGGCTCCTGTCCCCAGACCCTCCTTGGGGCTGTGTCAGCTGCTCCAAACCAGAGAGAAAGAAATGGCACTTAGGGGCAGAAGTGAGTTTGAATCCTGCTTCTCACTACCTGGGTGACCCTGGGCAAATTAACTTTTAAGAGTGTTTCATCTATAAAGTAGATTACTGTGATGATGAAAGGAAGGTAAAGAAAAACTGCAGTTCTCGGTGTTTTGCTTTAAGGATGTTATGGACAAATACAGAAACTGTGGCTAGGCCCCGATGGAGTTTCTGTCCTTCAAAACCTCGACATGCAGCAACTGCCCCTTTAGGAACAAGGATTTTGTTAGCAGGTGTATTCGCTGGGGATTGCCACAACATGAGTCCGCAGACGAAGTGGCTTAACCAACAGAAATGTATTAATATTTTCTCCATTCTGGAGGCTGAAAGTCTGAGATCAAGGAGCAGCCGCGTTGGTGTCTCCCGAGGCCTCTCCGTGGCTTGTGTAATAGCTGGCCATCTTCCTGCTGGGTCCTCATGTGGTCTGTCCTCTGTACATGCACAGCCCTGCCGCCTGTCTCTATACGTCCTAACCTCCTCTTCTTATGAGGACACCTGTCATATTGGACTAGAGTGGACCCCAATGACCTCATTTAACTTTAATCACCTCTTCTTTAAAGGCCCCATCTCCACATACACGCACATGCTGAGGTCCTGGGGGTTAGGGTTTCAGCTTGTGAATTTGGGAGGGGACAGAATTCAGCCCATAATAGGAGGCAAAACAGAATCGTCCTGGTGTTTGGAAAAGGGAGGCCTTTTGGAAAAGACAACAAATGGCTAACAGATAGAAAAAAGGAAGGAGGCCAGGCGTGGTGGCTCACACCTGTAATTCCAGCACCTTGGGAGGCTGAGGCGGGCAGATCAGGAGGTCAGGAGTTTGAGACCAGCCTGACCAACATGGTGAAACCTCATCTCTACTAAAAGATATAAAAATTAGCTGGGTGTGGTGGTACATGCCTGTAATCCCAGCTACTCGGGAGACTGAGGCAGGAGAATTGCTTGAACCCGGGAGGTAGAAGTTGCAGTGAGCCGAGATTGCACCACTGCACTCCAGCCTGGGTAATAGAACGAGACTCCCTCTCAAAAAAAGAAAAAAGAAAAAAAGAAGGAGCTGGGGGATAGGGAGGCCAGTTGAAAATGATTTTGAGCTTGTCTCATCAGTTCTCCAGTTCAGGAGGAAATTGACTAGTTATTAAAGACTGCTGTAGGCTCGGCTTGTGGCCACTTGACCTCTTCAGCAGGGCAGCCCAGGTACTGGGATACGTATGGGGTCGTCACCCGCTCTGTGCAAAGCTAAAGTGTGTATTTTTGCCCTCAGACATGAGTTGTACCAAAAGCCACCTCCACCAGCCTGGGAATTCTGTCAGTGGAGACCACGTACAGTTCTTGCTTTTGCCCCACACCTTGTCCATGCGCTGCTCACTCACTGTCAAACAGAGAAATGAGCCTGATCTCCTCTGAAAGAGGAAGACAATCTTTTTATCACTTCTGTGCCACAAGAGGGCAGCAAACTACAAACTCTCCACGCCTTCAGACGCCCAAAGGGAAGGTACTCTGGATCAGAGCAGCCTGCTTAGAAAATTTGGAACCAAAAGAACGTTCCTCCTCCTGACCTTCATTTTCATCCAAATTCTACAATTTATTTTAGAGCAGAATTGTCCAAAACACAAACACTGGCAAATGCCCCGAATAACCCATCCAGATCAACAATGGAAGCTCGCTCGGCCCTAGGCTCTGCCAGAGGGCAGATGATGTGGGATCCCAGTGAGCCAGCTCCAGCAGCCTGGCCCTGCCCCCACTTGCCCCTTCGAGGTAGGAAGACAGATAAATCATCAGGTAGCTACACCCACCAAAGTGATGGGATAATAAGGAGCACAAGATGGGCCCACAGCCAAGGGCAAGTGTCCCCTGCTGCAGTCAGGACTTGGCCCCACTACTGGGCTACAGAGAAGAGGCCTGGGTAAGGAATGGCCTTGACCTTGTAGCTGTTGCATAATCCACATTCTTCTCAAATAATACGCATCCTAGACTTCTTCCTCTCTAGCTTGAGGGATTATAAACTCTGAGAGCAAAGGAAGGTGGAGTGGGGAGCACATCAGTCCTCTCCAATGTCCTGTTGTCAGAGGTGATGGTGTGTGGGGAGGGCTGGGAAGGGACACTCATTCTTCCAGCCCCGCATCTGCTCCTCTGCAGTCCTCCCATCAGCCTTTATCTTTACACAAAACCATCACTGCATTTGGATTTTGTAGCTGTTTTTTATAATTATTTATTTTTAGGATTTTTTTTTTTAGACAGTCTCACTCTGTCGCCAGGCTAGAGTGCAGTGGGTGCCATCTGAACTCACTGCAACCTCTGCCTCCTGGGTTCAAGCAATTCCCCTGCCTCAACCTCCCGAGTAGCTGGGACTGCAGGCATGCACCACCATATCCAGCTAAGTTTTGTATTTTCAGTAGAGACAGGATTTCACCATGTTGGCCAGGATAGTCTTGATCTCTTGACCTCATAATCTGCCCACCTTGGCCCCCCAAAGTGGCCTCCCAAAGGGATTATGGGATTATAGGCATGAGCTACCGCTCCTGGCTTTTTTTTTTTTTTTTTTTTTTTTTTTTTTTTTTTTTGAGACAGTTTCTCTGTCGCTCAGGCTGGAGTGCAGTGGCATGATCTCAGCTCACTGCAACCTCCACATCCCAGATTCAAGCAATTCTCCTGCCTCAGCCTCCCGAGTAGCTGGGATTACAGGCGCACGCCACCATGCCTGGCTAATTTTTTTATATTTTTAGTAGAGACAGTGTTTCACCATATTGGACAGGCTGGTCTCGAACTCCTGATCTCAAGTGATCCGCTCACCTCGGCCTCCCAAAGTGCTGGGATTACAAGCATGAGCCACAGTGCCCAGCTTCGTAGCTGTTTCAAGCGAACAAGGAAGTGGCCCCATCAAGCTTGTCTGGCTAAGAAAAATGCAGATGTCCTCTCCCTTCTGCACAGGTGTAAGCCTGACCCAGAGAGGAATGGGGATGGGCAGAAGGATAGAGGCAGAACCAGGCCTAGGAATGGGGGTGGGAGTATGAGCCTGGAACACAGTGGGGGTTGGGGGAGGTGGTGCCCATTAGTGGCCGCATCCAGAGTGTAAATGCCATTAAACAGAAAAGCAGCCTTTCCACCTCACCCCACCCCACATCGACACCCCCACAAAGAACTGAGCCACAGCCAACCATAGCATGTCTCTTCTGAGAAGCTAAAATATGGAGGGGGAGGCATAGGGATTATTCTACCCTTTTGGAAGATAAGAAAATAAGGCTCAGAGAAGTTGGAGTTTCCCCAAGCCCTCAACCCTCTCAGGTTAAAGTGAAGTTTAATTCAGCCTCCCCTATTTCCAAATCCTCCGGCTCTCACCCCTGAGATGCTCCTCCTAGATCTAGGGGCAGCCCCAATAGGGCCCCAGGTGAAAAGCAGGAAGGACCGGTCCACATGGACAACTCTAGCTTTCAAATTCTGGGTTTCTTTTTTTTTTTTTTTTTGAGACGGAGTTTCGCCCTTGTTACCCAGGCTGGAGTGCAATGGCGCGATCTCGGCTCACCGCAACCTCCGCCTCCCGGGTTCAGGCAATTCTCCTGCCTCAGCCTCCTGAGTAGCTGGGATTACAGGCACGCGCCACCATGCCCAGCTAATTTTTTGTATTTTTTAGTAGAGACGGGGTTTCACCGTGTTGACCAGGATGGTCTCGATCTCTCGACCTCGTGATCCGCC